ATAACTTAGGTCCGGAAAATTAGATCATAGAGCTTTTATTTTCAAGAAAAGAGAGAAGTGAGTTGGGTTGAACGTGGTTTGTTTCAAGACCACGTCCGTCGGGAGCCGCAGAAACAGGAAGCCCGCAACCACCCAGCATCTGATTGGCCCCGGGTCTGAGACGCGTGAAGCCATTGGCTTGCGGACCTGTCACTCAGGCGAGTCCAGCCCAGACGCAAAGCGACGCTCTCGCTGAGCCGTTTGGGAGTTGTGGTCTCCCCGCTCCGCCCAGTTCAAGCCTAGCGTGGCTGGGCAATGTGAAACCAGGAAATATGGCCCACAGATGATAACAGGAAAATGATAGCTCAGGTCAGGAAAATTAGGCCTCACAGCTTTTTTTTTTTTTGAAAGAAAAGAAAGCTTTCTCAGCTCTTACATATAGAATTTCCGCCCCGAGCAGACGCCTCCGAAACAGGAAGCACACACCCACCCCGCGTCTGAGCGGTCCGGAGTCTGAGACCGGGGAAGCCATTGGGTCGGCTACCTGTCACTCAGGCCAGTACAGCCCACACGTAGAGCGTCGCCGCCGCCGCTGAGGCTTCGGGGAGTTGTAGTCTCCCCGCCCCGCTCTGTGCAAGCCGAGCGTGGCTGGACAATGTGAGACCAGGGAATATGGCCCACAGATAAAAGAAAAATGATAACTTAGGTCAGGAAAATTAGATCATAGAGCTTTTATTTTCAAGAAAAGAGAGAAGGCCAGCGCCGCGGCTCACTAGGCTAATCCTCCAGCTAGCGGCGCCGGCACCGGGTTCTAGTCCCGGTGGGGGCGCCGGATTCTGTCCCGGTTGCCCCTCTTCCAGGCCAGCTCTTGCTGTGGCCAGGGAGTGCAGTGGAGGATGGCCCAAGTGTTGGGCCCTGCACCCCATGGGAGACCAGGGAAAGTACCTGGCTCCTGCCATCGGATCAGCCGCACCGACCGCAGCGGCCATTGGAGGGTGAACCAACGGCAAAAGGAAGACCTTTCTCTGTCTCTCTCTCTCACTGTCCACGCTGCCTGTCAAAAAAATAAAAGGCGGCGCTGCGGCTCACTAGGCTAATCCTCCGCCTAGCGGCGCCGGCACGCCGGGTTCTAGTCCCGGTGGGGGCGCCGGATTCTGTCCCGGTTGCCCCTCTTCCAGGCCAGCTCTCTGCTGTGGCCCGGGAGTGCAGTGAAGGATGGCCCAGGTGCTTGGCCCTGCACCCCATGGGAGACCAGGAGAAGTACCTGGCTCCTGCCATCGCATCAGCGCGGTGCGCTGGCCGCTTTGGCCACTGGAGGGTGAACCAACGGAAAAGACCTTTCTCTCTGTGTCTCTCTCATGGTCTATAACTCTGCCTCTCAGATAAATGTAATCTTTTTTTTAAAGATTTATGTATTTGAAAGGGTTACACAGAAGTTTTTATTCACAAGAAGCTATGAGCTAATGTATAATCTTTAAGTTTTTTTTGTTTTTTGTTTTTTGGTTTTTTTTGAAGGCAGAGTGGACAGTGAGAGAGAGACAGAGAGAAAGGTCTTCCTTTGCCGTTGGTTCACCCTCCAATGGCTGCTGCGGCCAGCGCACCGCGTTGATCCGAAGCCAGGAGCCAGGTGCTTCTCCTGGTCTCCCATGGGGTGCAGGGCCCAAGCACTTGGGCCATCCTCCACTGCACTTCCTGGCCACAGCAGAGAGCTGGCCTGGAAGAGGGGCAACCGGGACAGAATCCGGTGCTCAAATGGGATGTTAGCATTGTAGGCCAGGGTGTTAAACCACTGCACCACAGCGCTGGCCCCATAAATAAAATCTTTAAAAAAAATGCACATTGGACAGTTAACTCAGAAATCAGGAAAAGTGACCAGCTAACATGTGAAAACTTCACAATTTAGGTTTTCAAATTAATGAAAATATAATTATAAATTCATCAATATTGTGTCATAGAGTTCTGAAATTTTACTCTTGTGAGGATTTTGTAATCTGTTTCCCTTCTATTTGTTTATTGATTATTTCTAGAAGATTGCTGTGTGCTATCATTCATATTTTTATTTTTTCTTTATTTTAAAATTATTGTTTTAATTGCCCATATTTTTGTGGTATAGTATGGTAATAGATTCATATATACAAATGTGCAATAATTAAATCAGGCTCAGATTTTTTTAAAGAATGGCTTTTTTTTGGAAAAAGAGAAAGAGCTACCATTTGTTGTTGCACTCATGTTCTTAAAGATTTCTTTGAAACACAGAGAGAAAGAGAGAGGGTGACATGGAGAACGACATCTTCCACCACCACTTCTTTCAACAAGTGGTTATAACAGCCAGGGCTTGGGTAGGTGGAAGCCTGCAGCCAAGAACACCATTTAGCTCTCCTGTGTGGTCATCAGGTACATTAACAGGAAGCTGCATCAGAACTGGAGCGGTGATGACTTTGGCATGTGATATAGGCAACCCAGCCCACTGTATCAGATTGCTTATTCCTAGGCTTGTTTCTACTGAAATTGGGCCCGATGTTGTTGGTTGAGAGAAGCAGTAGAAAATGACTCAGCCTAGAGTTTTTTGTGGCCCTTGGGGAAATAAAGCAACAAAAGGGCAATCTCTCTGTATTTCTGTCTGGCTCTGTTTCTCTCTGTCTCTGTAAGTCTGACTTTTCAATAAATAAATCTTGAAAAAAATCACTGAGATTTTTATGAGAACAAAGAACATTTTTTGCAACTCTTTTATTCTCCTCAGAGTATGCACAAGTAATCAAAATGCTGGGAAATGGACGATTAGAAGCAATGTGCTTTGATGGTGTAAAGCGATTATGCCATATTAGAGGAAAATTGAGAAAGAAGGTAGGTGTATAGATTTCTTTTTATAAAATTTGCTGCAAAGAATTACTTTACTTCAGTATACAACTGTTTGCCAAGCAGTTCAATTTTGTAAATTGCCAAAGACTTAAAACGAAACAGTTATTTATTTGAGAACACAAATTAAACTTCTCAAAAGATTCTATTTGTATAAAGAATTATATATTGTAGCTGTAAATGTTTACTGGATAGTTAATATAGAAATGATAAATGATTTCTACAGTACTACATTCAACTAAATGTTAATGTGAAAAAAACAATTTTTTAGTTTTAAAAGTGACAAAAGAGATGGTAATTCATTCAGTTTAGTGTTACATTTTAGTTAAATAGAACTGCAAATGGTATGAGAAATTTGAATGTGAAGTCCTATAGATTCCTTTTGAAATGTATACATTGTTTAATGATAGTATCCATTTCACTTGAACACTTTTGAAGAGACTTCCTATGTGTGGATTTCATATTTTGGGGTACCAGAATTTCTTTTTTAAGTTCTTTCTGAACTGTTGGAAAACCCTTTGTAGTATGTGTTTTGTGGAAAGATTCATTTAACATTAAAATCATCTTCAAATGAAATAATATGCTGTTAAAATCTGTTTCATAGGTGTTGGATAATACCTCGACATTATTTTGATTGGTCTCCGAGAGTATCAGGTAAAAACTAAGTTTAAATTTATGTTGCAGCCTCCATAGCAAGTCATTAATTGTTAGGACAACACAGAATTAACATTGTTGGCAATTCTAGGCCAGTGTGTTTTTAACCCATTCTGCTGTTTGCATTTTGTTTAACACTATAGTGTTTTTACTACAATTTATTAATCGTGTATTTGTTTTATTTTTTGTAAGAAGACTTGGTCAATACAGTTTCTATTTATATATGTATTTATTTTAAATATTTATTTATTTATTTGAAAGGCAGAGTTACAGAGAGCCCGAGACAGAAGCAGTGCGTGAGAAAGAAAGGCCTTTATTTGAAAGATTTACAGAGAGAAGCAGAGAAAGAGACATCTTCCATCCGTTGGTTCACTGTCCAGTTGGCTGCAACAGCCAGAGCTCCACGATCCAGGAGCCAGGTGCAGCTCTGGCTGTTGCAGCCAACTGGAGAGTGAACCAACGTGGGAAGACGTCTCTGTCTCCTCCTCTTTCTCTGTATATCTGTCTTTCAAATAAATAAAATAAATCTTTAAAAAAAAGAAAAAAACTCGCAGAATGCACAGAGCAGTCAAAGCTGGAATAAGCCAAAGCCAGGAACCTGAAACTCAATCTAGTTTTTCCTATAGGATTTGAGGGTTGTCCCAGCCTCTTTAGTTTTCCAAAAACCTGTTCTTAAGTCATAATTTGTTGTTTTTCAAAACTGAATATTTTGTATGTCATTATGATGTTTTGTTACTACTGCTTGTTTTTTAGTGATTTATGAAAAATAGAAGATTGTTTCCCTGTCCTACTTTATTCAGATGAAATTACAGATGTCCTATATTTTTAATTATTTAAAATTATATATTTTTTTCTATTTGTTTTAGAATTTTTTACTAGAGTACGGGGTGGGTAAAGGAAGAAAAGCAGTGCAGTGTTATGAGTTTTACAAGTTTGTTTATTTCTAAGGATAACAAAGCAGACGTAATTTTAAAATACAATGCAGATGAAGCTAGAAGTCTGAAGGCATATGGCGAGCTTCCTGAACATGGTAATGTCTATTATTATTAATCTACTCTGTCATAGATATTTTCTTTTTTTTCTTTTTTTATTTTATTTTATTTTTATTTATTTATTTATTTATTATTATTTATTTATTTATTTATTTATTTATTTTGACAGGCAGAGTGGACAGTGAGAGAGAGACAGAGAGAAAGGTCTTCCTTTGCCGTTGGTTCACCCTCCAATGGCCGCCGCGGCCGGCGCACCGCGCTGATCGATGGCAGGAGCCAGGAGCCAGGTGCTTTTCCTGGTCTCCCATGGGGTGCAGGGCCCAAGCACCTGGGCCATCCTCCACTGCACTCCCTGGCCACAGCAGAGAGCTGGCCTGGAAGAGGGGCAACCGGGACAGAATCCGGCGCCCGGACCGGGACTAGAACCCGGTGTGCCGGCGCCGCAAGGCGGAGGATTAGTCTACTGAGCCGCGGTGCCGGCTATGTCATAGATATTTTCATTCTTTGTGTTTAGTTGAAGGAATTTTCATGGAGTTGTCTGTGACATTAAATATATACACTTTCTGGTGAGTTTGTAAGTTTGCAAAACTTTGAAACCTGGATTTGTATAAACGTCTGTCAAAGTAACACATTATTAGCATTTTTCCATTTAACATTTCTCAGCCGACTCATAGTTTTCATTTTCTTAAAAAGATTTTATTTATTTATCTGAGAGGTAGAGTTGCAGACAGTGAGAGGGAGAGACACAGAGAAAGATCTGAAAATCAATTGAAATTCTTTGCATTTGAGGAAGTGCCGATGTCTGTGAATTAGTCTAGCACCTCCTTTTCTCTTTTATTATGTATTTATTTTAAAAAGATTTATTTATTTATTTAAAAGACAAAATTACAGAGAGACATAGAGATGAGACAGAGAGAGAGAGGTCCTCCACCCACTGGTTCACTCTCCAATTGGCCGCAATGGCCAGAGCTGTGCTGATCTGAAGCCAGGAGCCAGGAGCTTCCTCTGGGTCTCCCATGTGGGTGCAGGGGCCCAAGGACTTGAGCCATCTCCAACTGCTTTCCCAGGCCAGAGCAGAGAGCTAGATCAGAAATGAAGTAGCCAGGACTCGAACTGGTGCCCATATGGGATGGTGTCGCTGCAGGCAGATGCTTAGCCCAGTATGCCACAGCACAAGCTGTGCGTCACTGTTATTTCTTAAATGATAAACATGATTTGACTAAATCTTGCTCTGGTTTGCTAAGTTTCTCCAGTAGTTGTAGAACTAGTTGTTTTAATCTCATGATGTTTTATACTTCATGTGACTACATGTTGTTTAGTCATACTCATTTGATGTTTTAAAATTGTTAAATTTTTAAAATGTTATTAAAATTATGTTGCACTGAACAAAAGTGCAGCACATATATTCTCTGTTGTAATGACTTAGGAATAGATGAATTTCTGGGGGATTTTGTTGTTAGATTGCTTTATATAGCTTCATAAAGCAATATATTTGCTCCTAATAGCAGAACTTTGGTTGAATGGAAGGTTGGCCTATAATAAGACTCTTGCGGTTACTCATTTTAATAACATTTTAATTGTGTAATGAATGTTTTTTATGCATTTATTATTTATTTAGCTAAAATCAATGAAACCGATACATTTGGTCCTGGAGATGATGATGAAATCCAGTTTGATGATATTGGAGATGATGATGAAGACATTGATGATGTAAGTACATGACCCTAAAGGTTGAGGGGGTGTGTTTGCTAATAATGTTTAGTGCTTAATGCATAATGGAAATGCTGTGAATTTGAATATATTATTAGAAACAATCTAGCCAATCTACGTGTTTATACTTGGACAAGCACTTTCTGAAAAGTAATTATTAACTTTCCCAGTGGATATTGCATGGTTACAGTTTGTATAAGCAGAGTATCTAATAGATATTTCTGTTAAATAAAATAGTAGAAGATTTTTGTTGAACTAACTTAGTGATATACTGAAGTTGCTGCATTTTTTAAAGGTTTATTTGAGATGCAGAGTTACAGAGAGGTATGAGAGAGAGAGACAGAGGTCTTCCATCTTCTGGTTCACTCCCCAAATGTCTGCAATGGCTGCATCTGTGCTGAGCTGAAGCCAGGAGCCAGGAGCTTTTTCCATGTGGTGCAGGGGCTAATTTACTTATTTGAAAGAGATGTGAAGAGAGACAGAGAGAGACAGGATCTTCCATTTGCAGATAGCTGCAGCAGCCAGTGCTGGTCTAGGTAGCTTCATTTGGATCTCCCATATGGGTGGCAGGGCCTTCTGCTTGGGCCATCTTTAGCTGGATTTCACAGGCCATTAGCAGGTAGCTGGATCAGATACGGAGCAGCATGGATACTGCTCTTCAAGGCAGAAGCTTAGCCCACTATTCCACAGTGTGCTGGCCCTACTGCAAACTCTTAAAGCCTGATTGTGGAGACAGATATTATGGAGCATGTAATAGGAAAATACTAATTTCTTGTGAGGCATTGTTATTGCCCAGATCCTTGGTTTGGTCTTGTTGCATGCTTATTTTGTGCAAACCTAAAAAAGTGATGAGGACACAGAACTGAATGCCTTGCTACTGTTCTGTTGTTAACATCATTTAAATGAAACATCCTGATTTTCTGTTTATCTATTAAAATAACTATATAGCTTACATTTCAATCTAGATTTTTCTTACCACAGTGCAACAAAATAGTTCAGAAAAAAAATCTGCATAGTTGCACACACAAACAATGCACACATAGAAAAACACAAAATGGTTTTTTGCAGTTGTTTTTTGACCAAGTTCATGCAATATAATAACCAGAGTTTCCAAAAATTATGAAGGCTAGTATCTTTGTGTATGTGCATTAAAAAATTTTAAACACAAAGTAATCTGCTGGTTTATATAAGTTTAATATATAGTTTATACTATATATCTTATCTATCTTAAAACATACAGAACTTCCGGCCGGCGCCGTGGCTCAATAGGCTAATCCTCCACCTTGCGCCGGCACACCGGGTTCTAGTCCCGGTTGGGGCGCCGGATTCTGTCCCGGTTGCCCCTCTTCCAGGCCAGCTCTCTGCTATGGCCAGGGAGTGCAGTGGAGGATGGCCCAGGTGCTTGGGCCCTGCACCCCATGGGAGACCAGGAAAAGCACCTGGCTCCTGGCTCCTGCCATCGATCAGCGTGGTGCGCCGGCTGCAGCGGCGGCCATTGGAGGGTGATCCAACGGCAAAGGAAAGACCTTTCTCTCTGTCTCTCTCTCTCACTGTCCACTCTGCCTGTCAAAAAAAAAAAAAAAAAACATACAGAACTTCCTTTGCAGATCCTAGATACGATGGATTCCCAAGGGTAGAAAGTATTACAGTTAATTTCTTTGTCAAGCATCAAAAGTGTAACTATCATGGATTCAGGGTAGATTGTGCATTTTTATAAGATTTTACTTTTCTTCATTACCTAAAATCCTAACAACTTCTGATCATTTTTCTGGGAGGTTTATAGGTTATATAATTTTGCTCCTGTGACTAATCACTCAGAGAACAGATTGGGTAGGACTGTGCCTCATCTAATTGTTAAAGGACAGAAGGGTATACTGAACTTTTAAGGATATTTCCCATAGTAGAACATCTGAAACAGAAAGATTTTACTAATAGTAGATAGGAATTGAGAAAATCTAATGTATAATCTATTTCATTTAAAAGGAATTTGACATGTAATCCTGAAGAGATTCCTATGTTACAATAATTATTTCTTCATGGGTCTCTTTCTTTTCACTTACAGATCTAAATTGAATTCAGTTTTCATTTTCTGAAGACATTAACTGGGAATTTTGACCATCAACTTAAGAAGAATAGAACTTTATTTACCATGAGTATTGTTTATTAAAACAAATTGTCTTAATTCCGTTTTTTTTTAATGTATTTACTATACTATATTTCTTTAAAAATTGATGTTGAACCATCTTAGGTGACATATTAATTCTTTATTTTTTATATAATGAGACTTAGAAATAAAACATTTTTAAAAAAGAGAAAGAAATGCCTTTTCAACCATTGACAGTCACAGTTGCAAGAAATTGATGTTTAATCAGAATTGAAAATCAAAATTGAAAGTCATAGATTTGTCTGGAATAGTATTTAACTAATTTCTATAGTCTATGGACTTGTTCTGTATCTTTCAGAAATATATTTATGGTCTCTATAACATTTAAGAATGATCAAAATATACTTTGGAATGGTGTCAGCTTAAGTATTTTATACTGAGTTTGTTACCTTTTATATTTTGTAACTATTTGTTTTCATCCTTGTAAGTCCATTTGTAAAATGCAGTTTTCAAAATAAGGATGTATGTTACAGTTTTGAATTTATAAGACTTGTGGCTCCAGAAATAGTATATTGAAACTGGAAGAAGTAGCATAGTAATTGATGCCATTTTCTTTAGCATGCATGGAAAAATTGTCAAGATGGTAAGGTACATCAAGTATTTTTTACTCTATGAAAAGTATGTTAAAAGGTGAAATTTTATTTATAACAGTCATCCATTGTAATCCAGTTTTAAGCTTCATAAACAGATGAATTCAGTATTTAAGTGGAAAACTAACTTCTTAGTAAATTTTTTAAACCAAAAAATTGTAAATCTTTTCCTGAACTTGGAGTATGGTATTCTTCCTGTGTACACAAAACTTCCTGTCATTTTCAATGTAATGGGACATCTGTCTTCACAAGAAGACTGGAACCTCATTTTCCAAGAACACAATGGAGCTTTATTATCTCAGAATGCAGTAAGGCATCACTTTTCCCAGAGGGCAAGGGAACTGCCCAACCCCAGAAGGCAGGGTGTGATGACAGAATTGTTAATAAGGTGAGGGACTCCATGGTTGGAAACATGCAGAAGTAAAGGAGACAAGGAGAGAGGAGAAAATAGTTGAGGATTGCAGGTGCTGAGAAGAAAGGATTTGAAATGATAATATACTGCTATAGAATTCACCTGTATTCCATTCCCAAACCACCCAAAGCTAAAAGGTGAGCTTGAGATGGACATTTCCTTATTGCTTCAAAAAGCAATGAAAAACATGTAAGTTTCATTTTTATGCATTGTTTTTGCACTGAGTACTGTATATCAGAGAAAACATATTTGTCTTTTAGGAACTGCCTTATTTCATTACGCAACATGATCTCAAGTCACATCCATTTTGTTAAAAAGACAGGCTTTCATTCCTTTTTATGCATGAGTAGTATTCCATAGTGTATATTTAACAGAATTTTAAAATTCAGCATGAGTTGATGGATAAGTTGATTGATTCTATATGTGAGGTATCATAAATTGAGCTGTCATACTCATAGTAGTGCAAATATCTTTCATTCATGGATATTTTTCTATCATCTGTGTACCATTTATCCGTTTGCTGCAGGAAGTTTTCTCCCATGATATACAAAAAAAGATCACGTGTTCACAGTTCAAACAGTCTTCAGAACATACCGGTTCTCATTTGGAATATTTGGAAGATGCATGGTTACAAGTTGTCATAGGCATTTTCTCTGAGAAAAACTTTATAAACAGTTTTCTCTCATGTTATTTTACTGTTTAAAGTTTTCTGCCATTGATTGGCAAACAAATATGATTCAGCCATGTGGTTTGTGTGTCTCCCAGGTGGTTGCAGCAAGTGCACAAGGTCCTGTAGTGTCCCCAGGAACTTGCTATGGTTGCAGCTTGAGCAGCTTAATGAATGGATGGGTGAGCAGGAAACTTCCCTGAGAGCCTCTCTTGGGATTGTAACACTATTCTGAATTGAAATACCCAGCAGAATGGCAGTGTACTTCACAACATTAATAAGAAATGAAATGAAAAATATAAATTTATGGTGCCAGTGCTATGGCATAGTGGGTAAAGCCGCCGCTGCAGTGCCGGCATCCCATATGGGTGCTGGTTCTAGTCCCAGCTGCTCTTCTTCTGATCCAGCTCTCTGCTGTGGCCTGGGAAAGCAGTAGAAGATGGCCCAAGTCCTTGGGCCCCTGCACCCGCATGGGAGACCCGGAGGAATCTCCTGGCTCGTGGCTCAGCTGTGGCTGTTGTGGCCATCTAGGGAGTGAACCAGCGGATGGAAGACCTCTCTCTCTGTCTCTACCTCTCTCTGTAACTGTCTCAAGTTTGATTGCTCATGGCTGCCTCTGTGCCACTTTCTGACTTCTGTATGTCTGTCTGAGGTTTCATTGGCCTTACCCCCGTCTGTTAGTCTGTGGGTTCAACTGATTCTACCTTCTCTCTGTTTCAGGTTTTATTGCCCATGGCTGCATCTGTGTTACTGCCTCTCAGAGCTGTTTTCTCTCCTTTAGATTTGTTCTGACTTGTCTGTCTCAGGTTCGAGTGGCTATGTGTGTATGGGTTTGATTAATTCTAGCTTTCTGTGTCTAAGTTTTGATTGACCATGCCTGCCTGTGACTGACTGTGGGTTTGGTTGTAGTACTCTGTCAGGTTTCTTTCTTTTTTTTTTTTTTAATTTATAGATTTTATTTATTTGAGAAGCAGAGTTAGAGAGAGAGACAGAGAACCATTTGTTCACTCCCCAGATGGTCACAACAGCCGGTGCTGTGCTGCTCTGAAGTCAGGAGCCAGCAGCAGCATAGGCAAGGGCCAGGGTACATTCCACTCTGGTATTTTGCAAGCCTGGACACTCAGTATGTCAGAACAGTAAAGAAAGAATTTCTTTAGGAACTGGTGCATTCATCTGTGTGCCTGTCAGATTCTGTAGGAGGAGAGAATTTTATTGGGTTTGCCAAAAGAATAATGAGGTTGGGATGGAACACTTTGTTCTCCATTCCTGTGTGTTCTCTGGAAAAAAATAGGGATGTGTTGTACATGAGACAATGTATGACAAAAAACTTAAGTTCCCAGTGTTGCCCATTGACTTATCAGTCCTGCATGGATTGATTTTGCAGTGTGCACTTTGTACTATACATTTCCTCTACCCACAGGTATCAGGAAAGAGAAAAGGCACTCAATATAGGATGAAAAGACACAAATGGCCCTTGACTTCATTCATGTAAACAGTTTTATCCATTATTAAAGCATATCTCTCAACCTATCTGATGCTCGATTTTCATTGTAAAATGAGATTAGTGCATGCCTCACAAAAAGGTGGGAAAATTAAATGAGTAAATACATATAGAAAGACATTTCCAACTCTTTAAGTACTATGTTAATGTGAGATTATTCAGCTTGATAATTGTTGGGGTCTCTAGGGTATTTCAATATAATTCCATGGTATGACTTTTGTATATGACTGACAATTGGAGAGTGCCTTTACAGCAAGCCACTTTAAAGATCCAGAAGCCATCTGATGTGCCTATTTTATGACAGGTTGTTCCAGGGCCCTCTGATCATCATTTGAAGTTACAATACAGTCATATTATGACATGTACTAGAAGCTTCCATTTCTACTCTAGTCCTTTTAGATCATGATAATACCCTCTATACATATGCTCTGCATATATTAAGTGATGATTAGAAAATCTGCATTTAGCCACTTGAGGAAAAATTCTCACAGAATCCTGTCAAGCATCTCCATGAAATCCTAAGCCTCCTAGACTTCTTGGCTTCTTCTCAGTCCATCTGATCAAGTCATCCAAGAATCCAGTCACCTACCTATCCACCCATTCATACACTCATGAACATACCAACTCATCCAAACATAACAACTACCCATCCATCCACAACCAGTCACCTACCTATCCACCCATTCATCCACTCACATACAACCACCCATTCATCCACACAACTATCCTTCCATCCACCCACTAGTCCAGCTATCCATCAGTCCTACTATCCCATGAGTTCATTGACCCTTGTGTATTTTTGAACATTAATTAATGATCTATCTTTCTAATGTCATACACTGTCTTTTGGTGTAGAAGCAGACCCAGTGCCTGCTCTCCAGGCACATAAAATTTGGCAGTAGAAAATTAGTTGACGAGTTAAAATAAACCTGGAGAAATTGACATAGAACCTGAGTAACACTTTATAAGTTATTTTTTTTATTTATTTAATTTTTGGACAGGCAGAGTGGACAGTGAGAGAGACAGAGAGAAAGGTTTTCCTTTTGCCTCCAATGGCCGCCACGGTTGGCGCGCTGCGGCCAGCGCACCACGCTGATCCGATGGCAGGAGCCAGGTGCTTAACCTGGTCTCCCATGGGGTGCAGGGCCCAGGCACTTGGGCCATCCTCCACTGCACTCCCTGGCCACAGCAGAGAGCTGGCCTGGAAGAGGGGCAACCGGGACAGAATCCGGCGCCCCCACCGGGACTAGAACCCGGTGTGCCGGCGCCGCTAGGCGGAGGATTAGCCTAGTGAGCCGCGGTGCCAGCCAGGATATGATTCTTAAAGCAGTGAGTTAAAGCTATCTATTATGTTCCCTTGATGTCTCTGTTAAATCCTAATTATTTAAAAATAGCTGAGTTTTTATTTAGAGCTGTGGGTTATTTAAATATGTGCTTTTTTTTTTTTCCAAGCATTTGAATAGTCACCTTGTAACAAGGATCAGATTTGGTCTATATAATGTCATGATGTTAAAGAATTTTATTTCAACCAGATATTTTAGATTTTGAGCTTTCTTGACATCCTTGACAGTCATTCAAAAATCAAAATTCCAAAAATTTACACTTTGACAATTCCAGATGTGCTCCTGGAAATTTCAAAGACATATGTCTCATCATAGAGAGACACAACTAATCAGGCTATTTGGATTATATTAGAAGTACTGTCAAGATGTGAAGTGGTGCTAAATTTTAAGTTTTATAATATAAAATGCTACTGATATAAATGTCTGAATGTTAAAAAGTTTAATGATCTTGTGTTACTAAATTAATGGTCATCTTAATGAGAAAGGCCCTGAGGTCTAAAAGGATTAGATGCTTTCTAAAATCCTACAGGTGCTTTTGAAAATACTGTGTGGAGTTAGCAAGTGCCTCTTGTTGGTTGATGTGTTTATAATTTTAAACATGGCTATTTGAAGTCTTGTCATCCACAGTTTTATATATCAGATTTTCTGCTCATGAAACTAAAACATTGTTGATTCTGTGTTTAGCTGCCCTCCCATAGCTTCTGATGGACTTTTTCCAGTTACTTCTATTGTATTCAGTACTATGGGATGGTTCTGTAAACAGATGAAGCCAATAATGCACTACAGGTTCCAATTCAGAGAAAGCATGGTTAATACAGGCTACTTAGAGCAGAAAGTAATTTGAATCAATTAGTAATTTAAAAAACAAAGAGTTTAAGAAGCTATTACTGAAGCTGCTTTATTGTCCTATCTTGTATGTTATGTTACATGTGTGTACATATTGTTTGTCTACATGGGATAATTGATTAAGAACTCTGTTTTAATTGGCTTATAGATAAAAGATTGCTCATAAGTTTAAACTGCTAAATTAATCAGATACATTTTGATTCATGTGACCTGAGTCTGGATCAGATGTTTTAAACTTGGTGGTAGAAAGAAACTAACACAGTTTTTTTTTTTTTTAAGATTTATTTTATTTATTTGAAAGAGTTACAGAGAGAGGTAGTGACAGAGAGAGGGTCTTCTACCCACTGCATCACTCCCCAGATGGCTGCAACAGCCAGAGCTGCGCCCATCCAAAGCCAGGAGCCAGGAGCCTCTTCCAGGTCTCCCACGTGGGTGCAGGGGCCCAAGGACTTGGGCCAACTTCTACTGCTTTCCCAGGCCACAGCAGAGAGCTGGATCAGAAGAGGAGCAGCCAGGACATGAACTGGTGGGATACCAGCACTGCAGGCCAAGGCTTTAACTCACTGTGCCACAGTGCCAGCCCCCACCATTTTTATATGTTTGTGCTTGAATTTACTGGCTAAAAAAGCTATACCATGTTAGATATTTAAGAGATGTTTCCAAATACAAGTATCATTAAAATGTATAGAAGTTTTCATTTGATATTGTTACCATCAGCAAGTGATCTGGGACTTGCTCCCTTATTTCTCTATTCTCTTCAAGGTAGGAAACTGACTATACTGAAGGACTCTCTAGGATGCACGATTTGATCTTTACATATAATAAAAGGGATGGCAAATATATTCTGTAACAGCATACCCAAAATTAAAGCTTAAATTATAATTTTATCGCTTGGATTACTTTGCCATCAGCACAGTAAACAGTCAAAATCTCCCTTTCAGACCAGAAAGGTTGTAAAGTAAGGACATAGCTTTCCTCATGGGCATGAAATAAACCTTTATCAGAACATGTCTGTAATTACAGACTGTAAATTACAGATTTGAGATGGGACTTGAGCACCCCCTTTGACTTGCATCCTCTGGCCTGGTTTAACAAAAACTGGAAGGAAGAGAGCTAGGCTTCAGAAGCAATGTAAAGATGGGTGGAAGGCCTATTAAATGTAGCTCTGTACAGTGATCTGCCATTAGAGACCCAACAGGCCAGTCCACTGCAGTGGCTTTCTTCTTTCTTCTTCTTCTTCTTCTTTCTTCTCTTTCTTCTTCTTCTTCTTCTTCTTCTTCTTCTTCTTCTTCTTTGACAGGCAGCGTGGGCAGTGAGAGAGAGAGACAGAGAGAAAGGTCTTCCTTTTGCCGTTGGTTCACCCTCCAAGATGGCCGCCGTGGCTGGTGCACCGCGCTGATCCAATGGCAGGAGCCAGGTACTTCTCCTGGTCTCCCATGGGGTGCAGGGCCCAGGCACTTCGGCCATCCTCCACTGCACTCCCTGGCCACAGCAGAGAGCTGGCCTGGAAGAGGGGCAACTGGGACAGAATCCGGCGCCCCGACCAGGACTAGAACCCCGGTGTTCCAGTGCTGCAAGGCGAAGGATTAGCCTAGTGAGCCGCGGCGCCGGCCCACCACAGTGGCTTTCAATGAGGTAAGCCTGGACTTTAATAGAAATCAGCTCATTAAGAGCCCTGGCAGCTCTGCCAGCCAAGAGTTGGATCACTGGAAATGGACCTGCCCTGGAGTTGAAGGATACCCAGGTGAGAGTCATGGATCTTATTGGCTCTAAGCTGAAAAGTCTTTCACTCAGCCCAGCTTCCAAGGTGACCACTGCTGCTGAAGGGGTGGCCAAGCAGGGTCTGCAACATTACAGGCAGAACTGTAAATTTCCTGTTGGAGATGCCATCTGCCTTTACCTGGCCAACTCTCCTCCCAGGCCAGCTGGTAATGGAAGTCAACAGGGTGCCTTCCCCAAGGAGGTTCACACCTCTCTTAAAATGTACCCCATGTAAAGAGATAGATGAGTCTGGGCCTCATAACTGACAGGACCATAAAGCCCAGCAGATTATCAAGCCCCTTCTGTCAGGTTCTATTTGCCTCTCAATCAGAGAACTTATTTGTGGCTTAGACAGCAGCTTCCTTAGGTCCTCCACTAGTAACTCTTCTAGACCCTGTCTAGCCCACTTGGGGCCTCATTCCTTTGTAATCACAGCCTCTACTCTAACATCAGTGGCTCTACTCCCAACCCGTGTGTACTGATGGTCCTCTCTCCCACTCAATGTTGTATGATTGTTCAGGATTTTCTCCACAGACAAATCCCTCTACTGATTACCTGTGTGGTCCTTGGGAAAGAGCAGATGAATGTTATACCCACAGGAGCCAGAGATTGGACGCTGACTACCTTCAATTCTGCTTAGCTGTGCAGCATTACTTCCCTTCTGAATAAAAAAATAATAAATAAAAAAAGAGAGAGATTTACCATGCCTAACCTGGGAGTGTCACCTTTGGCATACCCTTAACCCTGAGGAACCAAACAGGCTCTCAGGCCACACCTATCTCAAGCCTCTAAGGCTCCATCAAAAGCAGACAGTCCACTTAATACAGTCATAGTATAACAAGAAAAAAACACCACAGCAAGGGAAGAAGCATCCAAAGAGTATCCACAATGCCAAGCAACAAATGCAGAAACCGAGGAAACAAGATCAAGGAAGACATTATGGCACCCCCAAAATGAACAAGACACCCCAATTCAAGATTATGAAGATGATGAGATAGAAGAAATGAAAGATAGAGATTTCAAAAAATTTATGATAAGAACATTTAGAAGTTTTCAAAAGCAAATCCTTGAACTACAGA